GTACAAGTAGCTTTTAGTGTTTTATGTGGCTCACATGCTTAATGCAAGCTGGAAGCTGCCTGATACAACTTAAACTGCCAACATTGTAACATATCTTCAGAAAAAAAAAAAAAATCAATGCCATGACCTTTCAAAGATGATTGAGAGTGGCCTAGCAATGATGTCCACCAGCTCCCTCAGCACTCATGGGTGCATCCTGTCAGGGCCCGTGGACTTGTGAGTGTCAAGTCTGTCTAAATGAACTCTAACGCAACCCTCCTCAACCAAGGGAAAGTCTTTCTCAATACTTTCTCCCTGATTCTCTCAATCATCTTTGAAAGGTCATAGCAATCAGGAGAGGTGCCTGAGGACTGGAAAAAAGCAAATGCTGGTCTCCAACCGGTCCCTCCTTGTTTGTTAGTACAAGGTCCAGCAGCACACCTCTTCTCATTGGCTTCTCTATCACCTATGTCAGAAAGTTATCAATACTCTGCAGGAACCTCCTGGGTTGTTTGTGCCTTGCTGTGTTTTTCCTCCAGCAGATGTCAGGGTGGTTGAAGTCTCCAATGAGAACCAGGGCCTGTGATCGTGAGGCTCCTTCCAGCTGTCTGTAGAAGGCCTCATCGATGACTTCTTTCTGATCAGGTGCCCTGTAGCAAACACCCCCAACAGTGTCACCTATGTTAGTCTGCCCTTTAATCCTTACCCATAGGCTCTCAACCCACTCATTATCCACCCCGAGGCAGAGCTCCAAACATTCCAGATGCTCTCTCACATAGAGGGCAACTCCACCACCTCGCCTTCCTGGCCTGTCTTTCCTAAAAAGCATGTAGCCATCCATGACAGCATTCCAGTCATGCAAGCTATCCCATCATGTCTCTGTAATTGCAATGAGATCATGGCCCTGTGACCGCACACAGACCTCTAATTCTTCCTGTTTATTCCCCATGCTGCGCGCATTGGTGTACAGGCACTTCAGAGAGGTATTCAAGCACACTGATTTCCCAGGAGGGGTGCAAGAGGATACCCTGTAGTCATGTCTTGTAGGCACTTCCTTGGCTGCATGCACTTGCTGGAGGTATCCACACTTGAGCCCTGTTTTGCTGACTGCATGAGTTCTATAACTCTCCCCTTCTCCCCTCATTCTTAGTTTAAAGCTCTCCTCATCAGGCTGGCCAGCCTGTTGGCAAAGAAATACATGTCCCTCTTGGTGAGGTGGATCCTATCTCTCCCATTCAGTTGTCACTCTTCAAACAGGGTCCCAAGGTCATAGAAACCAAAACCTTGTTGCTGACACCAGCAGCACAGCCAATTGTTTACTTAGAGAATCTGTCTACTCCTCCTCCCATCCTTCCCTCTAACTGGCAAGATTGAGGAGAAAATGACCTGGGCCCTCAGACCCTTGACCACCATCCCCAGAGCTCCGAAATCCTGTTCAGTAGTTTCCAAGTTGCCCTTGGTATTGTTGGTGCCCCTGTGGAAGAGCAGCAGGGGATGATAGTTGGACGTGTGGACAAGCCTCGGCAGTCTTTCCATGATATCTCAGATTCAAGCTCCCAGCAGGCAACAAACCTCTCTTGACAAGCGGGCGGGTCAGCAGATGGATGCCTCTGTTCCCTGCAGCAGAGAGTCACCCACAACAATCACTCACGGCTTCTTCCAGGTGTTCCTGTGTGGCACGGGTCCATCAGCTTGATTGTTTCCCTTGAAGCCATGCCCAGCTCCTCCTCAGCATGCAGGGTACTGAACCTCTTCCTCAACTGCAAGTCTTTAGGAGGAGCAAGAGCCTTTCTGCTCACATGAGAAGTGACCAGTTACCAGCCTTCATCTTCTACAGAGTTGTGACTTACTGTTTCACATGGCACAGAGTCCACCTGCATCTCTGCTGCTTGGTGGGGGGGGGGGTTGAGACTCTTGAAGCTGTAGGGTCTCTGAGAATATCCTATCGCTTCTCAGATGCTACGCAGCCTGCTTACTTCCTCACATAGCTTCTTTACCTGGTGACGCAACTCATCAACAACAGCACACCTTCCATAGAAAGCTTGACTGTCAGCCCCAGCCTCACAGAGAGGCCCCAGGCACTCTCCCTGCAGCCTGAGACCTGCAGAGCTGCATCTGCTGTCAGAAGGTCTGTCTGGATGGAGGCCTCTGACGCAGCAACTCCAACAGCTACTGGGGAATGTGCTCTGGTGGCATCTCATAACCATCTCTGAAGAAGCATACACTAAGACTAGCAATGACAGGGCCTTCTTGCACCCTTCTGCACAAACTGCAGTATCTGTTCATTGCCTCTAGGAGCTGCGCTGTAGGCCTGGCTCTTATATAGGCCTCTGCCTAGCACTGACTCACAGGGTGCTTGACCCACCCTAATCAAGGGCCACCTTGATCAAAGGCCCCCAACTCCCTCTCATCAGGGGCAACCAAGAGAGCTCGTTAGCAGCAGGTACACCTAGCTAGAGCTTCCCAGGAGAAGTTAAGGCCTCCTGTAGTTGTCCTTGCCTAGCTCTCCTTTCCTGCTAGCAGCAAGCACCATCTAGTTCCTCGGGGGTCCCCAGAAAGCCTCCACAACTTCCAACAAGCTCCTCCAAAGGTCCAAGCAGAGCCCAGACACTGCTGCACAAACTGCTGCCTCTGTTTGCTGTGCTCAGTTTATATCTGTTTAAATAGTTAAAATGATCCTTGCTGTTTAATATTGGAAAGGATCTTGCCAAACATCGCCTTTCATCGCCCTAAAATTTGCCATGCCCCGTTGATGGCGACTCATCTCGGGGTAATTTCCAGCCTTTCGTTGCCTCATGCAGGCTCCAGGTCTGTCCTGAGCCATGATCGCTGGAGCCGACTTATTGTCTGAGTAGGAAGAGTCTAGTGTTAACCTCGGCAAAAAAAGTTATCCCTTGGACATGGAAGGAACACGTTTTATCATCCTGGTCCACAAATAGGCAGTGATTTATTTTTCCAGCCTGTCCTCCCTGCTTAGTGCAGAGGAACATATAATTAATGGCTAATGTAGTAATGTATAATAATTGTAGTTTAGTTGCTGCTGACTTTCAGGTGGCTACTGTGTTTAATAATAACGCTGGATAATAATGCTAGATTTACTTTGCAGCAAAGGAAAAATGAATGCTGTGAGATGATGAACTTCTAAAATCCTGCTTATTTTAATGGGCATTAAGAAAGGACTCAGCACTGTGGCTACAATGCATCTGGTGGGTGTATTTCAGAGGTGGAGAGACTTTTCTGCTCAAGAGTGAATGTGGCAAAATGGTATTTTTAAAAGCTTTTCTGCTTAATTCTTGAATTCAAGAATTAAGTTCCTCATCTTGTGTCCCCATCAGGCTCTCAGAAAAGGAGAGTGCTGGCTTTTTAAACCTGCCAGCTTTTTATGGCAGCAATTGGAGAGCATCAGTTGTTACTTGGTGCAAGTTTTAACCCCAAAGAGTGAGATTTTGACTTTGTGCTAGAGCTGAAGAGCAGCGCCGAAATGTTTCCGCGCTTCTGCCCTTCTAGTTCGTCCAGCGATTCTTTGCTCCAGGATAAAGCAACTTAAAAAAAAAAAACACACCTGAATTTTTCCTCCTTCCCAGAGCAACCACTTAACTTTGTCCTGTGGCGAAATCATTGTGTCAAATTTAAGGCTCCAGAATAGCTCTTAAGCCGCAAATGCAGGACTCCAATTCTCCCGGGGGATCCGAGGCCGGGAAAAACACCCGATAAAAGGAAACAAGCTCTTCATGTGAGTCGGGAACAGAAAAACTGGCTTTGGCAGCGTGGCTGGTTGCTTGGTTGCTGCTCCTTGATGCAGGCCCATATATGAAAAGCAATCTCTTATTAATATTCATACCTATGGAGTTTGCTTATTTTGAGCTCAGTTTGCAAGCAGATATTTCTTGCTCAATGAGCTGGGCTAGGTCTCAGTACTGTTAAGGTTTTTATGTGGTCACACAGAAGCTATTAATTTACATATTATTATTTCCTATAGTAGGCTTAAGCCTGGCAGAATTAGCATATCCCTGTAACTGACATGCTAAAAACAGCCCCGTGTGTTTGTTTCTTTTTGGGAAATGAATTATAAAACCAATTACACACCGATCTCCAGAGTATGATGCTTCATTATCATCTCTTTTTGTGTGAAAATAATGGATTTAGGGATTTTAAGTGAGGCACTCCAAAAAGACTGGTGTTGTTCTTCGGCTTTTGCTGAACATTTTGCGGGAAACCGCAATGGTGAATGGTCTGTGCTTGTGCCGTGTTGGACTTCTACAAAATACTTATCTGCTGGTTCAAAATCCATCTCATCACCTTGATTATGGAAATAATTGAATTATCAGATTTTTTTTTTTTTAGTCTTCAGGAAAATTGCCATTGGGGCAGATTTTATCCAAGGAAAACTGGATTAAATTGGAGTCCATGGGAGGAAAATAAGTGTTTCTGAGCATGGTCTTGGGACAGGGAGAGCACCACAGCAGAGCCCAGCACAAGAGTCCCTGTCCCCATCAGCAGATCCTGTCAAGGCAGCTAAATAGAAACAGCTCGTTTGGGCTAAAAAGTCAGCTGAGATGAACTGTAACCTTAGTGACACTTCTGGGGCTAGAAAAATGCTTTAAGGGCTGGAAATGAGGAAAAAAATGTTGCTTTTTGGATATTTAATAATAGCAAATACTGACCTGCTGTGAACCCTCTGGACGTGGGAACCTGCTGGGTGTTTGGTAGCTCCAAGGATTTGTCTCAGGACGGAGAGATCCATCGGATCCATGAAATCCCAGTTGCTTTGTGGAAGCATCCCGTGCCGATGTAGTAAGCTGAGATTGCAGGATGTGCTGCTTCCCATCGAAGAGAAGAAGGTAGCAAAATTGCTGTGAAAAAAAAAAATCTAAAGCCGTTGTTAGGTACCTGGAGCCTTAAACTATTGCCTCCCCCCCCACACACACACATTCCTCTCCCTCCTTCCTCTCTGTCCCTTTAAAAAACAAAACAAAAAAACACACAAACCACCAACAAAAACCCTTTCATCCCTTTCCCAGGAGCTCTCCTCGAGTACAGAAAGTCTCGAGAAGTCATTCTGTTCCGTAAGTGGCCCGTTTCATGCTAGTGCCTGGGCTGCCTGCCTTCCCTGTTAAAGCAGCATTTCCTCTGTGCCCTCAACTACTAAACTCCCAGCACCTGGCAATGCCCCATGAGTAGCTCTGACATGAAGCCATCTCCCATAATGTACGATTTTTCTTCTTTTTTTGTTTTGTTTTTCTTTTTGCATTGCTTGAGCCTACTTTCCCAAAAGCAAGCCTCTGCCAGCGTTTTGCATCTGTTGCATGCGCCTCGGCTGCATCCTCCCAGCTCCGGTTCGCTCTGCCCCATGTGGAGCTGCTGGATTTGACCTGAACATTCATGGATTTTCCTTGGGCCAGTTTGGCTAAAATAAACCCAAAGCCCCAAAAGGTGCTTGAGGGTTTGACCTCATCCATAAAAGCCAGCTAGGGAGAGATATACCCTTGTGTTGAAAACCCAAAAGCAGAGGCAGCAGAGTCCCTTGGCTACTGCTGCTGGATTTTGTTTGAGCATTCCCTGACCTTTGTGTTGTGTCGGTGGCGGATGAAAGAGGAAATGCTGTTTCCTTGAATTTTTGACTTAAAAGTTCTCTGCCAGATGGGATTTAATTTGCTTTTTCCATCAATCTTTTTTTTTTTTTTCCCTCTGTCTGTCAAACTGAGTCTTTCAATCAAAAAGCCAATGTTTGCCTGTTAGAGTGTTTTGCTTTTGAAATGAACTTTTTTTTTCTGTTTTTAATCAATAGCATCTTTCTCATTTGTGTCATTTTCCCACCTCTGTGTGCACATGTGTATACTCGGTTTGGGATTTCCTATGGGCTTCCACATGTTGCATATGTAGTCCATGATCAAAACTGTTCACCCCAGGCAGCGAGGCTGAGAATTTAATGCGGTCCCTTTGCATGTCCTGCATCCTCCATGAAAGGGTTTGTGTGATGGTGAACCTCAGCATTTTTAAAGAGGCTCTCATCCCCCGACTCTCTCATCCCTCTGCAGTCCGTTTGTGTCCTCAGTTTAACACCAACATTTTAACACCTTTTGCACATGGCTTGGTAAGGGCAAAATGCAGACAGAAACTTTGACTCTGTAGTCACACACACACACACACACACACACACACACACACACATGCATATTTATTTATATACACAGGACAGAGGCTTTTCCCACTAAATCCACTCTGATATAGGTTCATTTTTTTCTTTTTAATCTCCAATTCCACTTTTTTTAAGAGATGCCAAGGACAGTAAGGTGCTCTTCTCAAGAGCCAATGCGTGCTAGCAGTTGGAGCAGGGGGTGGGAGGTTGGATGCCTGGGTTGGCGTCCCGATTTGCTCCCTGACTTTAGGTAAGTCGCTTTTTTTTTTTTTTTTTTTTTTTAAAGCCCTGCTCCACATAGCCTCATAAAAGGCAAACATCCCTCCCACCAGTGGTTTTCCGGGGCTTAGCATTTGCAAAATGCAGGCAGGCTCCGAGGAGATTGCAGGAGCCTTCTTGCAGCCTTTGTTTTTGCCATCGCAGCACCTTTGCCATTGCTCCACCTTTATGAGTTTGGGTCGGTGTCACCTGGACCTTGCTGCCTACTCAGCCTCACCCATATCTCCGTACCCCAAGGTTGTTTGGGTGGTAGCAGGAGAGTTTTTCTTCCAGGCTTTGCTAAACCTGGTTATTTATCCATTATTGCAGCAACTCAGGCTCTTTGCAAGCATGTATGCCAAATTTATAAATCTGCAGCAGGCACCTGCACCGAGCTGAATTGCCCCAGCATTGATAAACATGCCTGGTAATTATTATCGATGGTAACGCTGAAATCCCACTGGTTGGCAGCTAGTTAAAGGGACCTGGACGCCAGCTCTGCTCTGCCCCTTCCGGGGAGTTTCCAGCTCTGAGCATTTCACGTAGGTCCTGCTCCCCTGGTGGGATAGGAGTGAGCAAACACAGGCAGCAGAAGCTGGGTACAGCCAAAATTTTGCTGCATAAAGCTCTGAAATGAGAAATGCGGTTGTTTTCCCCCTCCAGTGCGCCCGAGCAGGACAGTCAGGTGGAAGAGACCTGGGGTCGCCTAGGAGGAAGGGACCAAAGGGACCGCAGCATGGCCTGCTGCGGTCGGCCATGGCTCCGGTGAACTCGCAACCCTCTCATGATGTTCAAAGGATGGGCAACAAGCAAAGAGGATCACTTTGCCAGTATGCCAGTATGGCCAGGCATGAGAGGAAGATGTTACAAAAATAGGTGGCACTGCATAAAAAAACACATCCCAAATGAGAGCCTCATTTGCAAGAGAGGGGATTTTTTTTTTCCAGACCCTGCTGGTTAAAAGTTTTGCTGTAGTAGAAAGTAAAAGTTTATATTGGCTCCGATCAATGAAGCAGTCCTTTGGGTGGTCAAGATGAGGGAAGTCCATCTCCTGTCCTCCGCTTCTAGCTTGGCTTCAGCCATCTGATATTAATGAGCCAGTGCAAAACCGGGTTTGTTGTGACAGGCTTTCTGCAGCTCCTAGAGGCCGAGCTTCCTGTGATTGCTCTGGTCCAGGACAACCTGTGTTGAGCTGAGGCCATTTTCCAAAGCCTCGTCTTTGCAACTGGGCGCGAGACAGTGAGAAAGTTTCCGTGCCGAGTGCTTGACAGCACCGAGGAGCTGCACCAAGCTCAGCGGGATGTATTTGGAGCCATGCAGGATGGGAAGGCCAGTTCCCAGCAGCGCCTTTCTGACTGGAAGAGCTGAGACCTGGCAGCTTTCATCTGGGATGTGAACTGCAGAGGCGCAAAAATGGGACGTGGATAGAGCAGGTAGCTGCTGGTGCCTAGGCAGCATCCCTCCTCTCACTTTAAAACAGGGAAGCCGATGCTTCAGAAAAAGCTTTGGAGAAGAAGAGATTGAAATGCCGAGTGTGCCATGGAAGTAGGATTGATTTCTGCTTGTGATGTAAAGATCAATACAGGTCTGACCCAAAAAGGAGGATTTTTGCTCTTGGTCTGCAATTGCAGACAGACCTCTTGAATTTATTGCCGCTCTCGTTGGGCACAATTCCAAATTCCCACCACATCTTGTATTAAGTTATTCTGTTGAGGCAAGCTGCATGTGGCAAACTCAGTGTGCAGTGAGGTGGCATGAGGCTATTTTTGTGACAAACATCCCAAAATGGCTTTTACCAGGGAGAAAAAGGCCCTTAGAGGAGCAGCTACATTGCATCCTCTGGCAAAAACGGTGGGAGAGGAAGTGTTAAAAAGAGCAGAGCATCCTTTGGAATATCGCTCTACTTTTTTGCAGCGAGTGCAATAAATGCAATGGTGCAAAGTGATCCTGGAGGCCATGGGCTGCCAGGGTGCAGGGGTGGACCAGGTCGCAGCAGAGGAAGGCAGCCTCTTTGAAGGGCAGGAGCTGGCGTCTCTGGTCTGCTTTTGGCTGCAGCTGAGGTCCTGGTGGGACCAGGTTCTTCTCAACCCATTGGAGGACATAGCATCAGCTGGTGCAAGGTTTTAAATATTCATCCTCTCCCTGATAGGTGCAGGAGATATCGCTGGCTTAGATGCTGTGCAAATCCTTCCCTGCATCCTGAGGACACCTCTGCCTCACTCGCTAGTGTCGAAAGGAGAGCAGTGCTGCCCAACAGAGCTGTGTCAGCCTGCTCTGGAGGAAAGGACAGTGCTTACACCTGAGTTCGGAAGGATTTTTGATGTGGACTACAGATCCAAATGAATGCCCACCTGCCCCTCTCCCAAAAGGGAACGACTAGACTGATCCTTCTCCTCTTTTACCATTCGTTTATTTTGCTGCGTGGCCTCTCATGGCTCCCCGACGTATTTCTTTGCTTCCTTTTCTTGCACTCCATTGCTTTTTGCATGTGTATTTTGAGCATGATTGTATGGTGAGCACTTTGCAAGTTTAATTCCACATCTTTAATGGCAAAATCAACCCACAATCATTAGTTGTTCCCATTTAAAAGGTTAAATGAGAGCAGAGCAGAGAGCCCAGCTTAACCCGCAGGATATGGGGCTCACACTTGCAGACTCTGGGTTAAAAGGGACTTCAACAGTTGCAGTCTGATCTCTGCAAAACACTCAGATTGAGGAATGTGCCAGGCTTTGCCTGGGGAAACAAGGCGGGGAGTACAGTAAATAAATAAATAATAAAAAAATAGGGCAGGGCTGGGGAAGAGGCTAATTCGTGCTCCCTCTGCTGGTTGTGGGCTCGCAGGAGCGCTGGGCTCTATCAGGGCTGGAAAAGCAGCCAAAAAGGGGGTCAGGCGTAGCAGGGGGATATGGCGAAGAGAGCGATCCTGAGCACTGGGGAGGAGGATCTTTGCCCAGCACAGTGGGAGCTAAAAAGTGCTTCAGCTCTACCTTCTGTTTCTGGACCTGTGGCTCCGGTCACAGGAACATCATCTGAGGACAGGAAGAGGGTGGGATAGGAAAAAGCTCTTCTTCTGAGCAGAATTTGTCCCAGTGGTTTTAGACTGGGGAGTCTAATGACAAAACTACCGGTGTCTTACCAAGCTGCTGCCTGTTTAACACTCTCCCTCGTTGCCCTCCTTCCTTCAAACTTTTTAGCCAGTCAGACTTGCCCCGGAGAGAGAGTTCATCAAATCCCTAATGGCCATTGGGAAGCGCCTGGCCACTTTGCCCACCAAAGAACAGAAGACCCAGCGGCTCATTTCTGAGCTGTCGCTGCTCAACCACAAGCTCCCGGCACGCGTCTGGCTGCCGACGGCTGGCTTTGACCATCATGTGGTGCGGGTTCCCCACACCCAGGCAGTCGTGCTAAACTCCAAGGACAAGGTAAGAGCCAGAGGCCAGGAATATTTTCCTAGAAAGGCAGATTTTGGCATTGGCAAAGGCTCCGTTTGCCCTTCCTGGATGCCTACCTAAAAAAATACTTTGCGCACGTGCTCCGTGCATCTGGACCAGGTGCATTGTCACAGCCTGGCTGCTGCCACGTGTGCAGAGAGCAGAGCAGGACTACGTTGCTTGCTGCTTCCAGCTGGAAGTGATGGGAATCCATGGTTGCTAAGAAGGGGAGAGAAATACCCTTGAGAGTAAAGATTCCCTGAAATTTGTATTGTAGAAGCATCTGGGAGGTTAGCCCCTGCCCTGGCAGCTCTTCCAGATCTGCTGAAAAACACAGCCTTGCCCCCACTAGCATATCACACAATGGTTGAGGTTGGAAGGGACCTCTGGAGATCATCTGGCCCAACCCCCCCCCTGCTCAAGCAGGGTCACCCCCAACAGGTTACCCGGGACCCTGTCCAGATGGCTTTTGACTATCTCCAAGGCCGGAGACTCCACAACCTCTCTGGGCAACCTGTTCCATGCAAAGCAGAAGGTGGCAGAGCACAGCCCAAGAGGCTGACAAATGCAAGGCCTGAGAGCATCACGCTGCCTCTTGTAGCCACTTGGTCCTTGCAGAGCCAGTGCCCCAGTAATGCTTGCTTTTCCTTCCTACAGGCTCCCTATTTAATCTATGTTGAAGTACTTGAATGTGACAATTTCGACACAGCGAATGTGCCAGCTCGCATCCCTGAGAACCGCATCCGGAGCACGCGGTCAGCCGAGAACCTCCCTGAGTGTGGGATCACACATGAGCAGAGGACCAGCAGCTTCACCACCGTCCCCAACTATGACAATGACGATGAGGCCTGGTCCGTGGATGACATCGTGGAGCTGCAGGTGGAGGTGAGGCTGGGGAGGTGCCGGGCAGGATTTGGCTCAGCACCGCATGGTGGTCCACAGCCCCCTCCGTGGGGCTCAGTCCCCTGCTGGGGCTGGGAGATGCTGTAAGGGTGTGGCACAGCGGCATCGTAGGATAGGCAGGTGCTTGCAGGCAGCAACGCAATCCTACCTGGGAAGGAGCATCCCTTTGGGATAGCAGATGAGTAGGAGCTGCATTTCATTAGCAGAAGGAATGTGCTGCTATATCGCCTCTCACACACCTCTCCCCTCCCAGCTGCCAGAGATGCACACCAATAGCTGTGACAACATCTCCCAGTTCTCTGTGGACAGCATCACCAGTCAAGAGAGCAGGGAACCCGTGTTCATAGCTGCTGGAGATATCAGGTGAGCTGCTTTGGGCTGGTACAACTGCCTCTGCTTGCTTAAGGTGCTGCTGGGAGCCACCTCACCTAAATGAGACTTGTGACTGTAGCTGTTCCCAGGCTCACAGGCTTTGCTGCCCTCATCCCGCCTCTGCATTTTTGCTCAGACACTGGCATCTTTCCTGCTGCTGGCGAAATGGTGGCTATGGGTCTGTTAAATGACCGTGGTTTGTGTTTTGCTCCAAGCAGGTCTGAGTCCATGAGCTTTGTAAAATGCTTTGAATCAGTCGTATGTGTATGTGGGGATGGTGCTTTCCAACCCAAACTTTCTCCTTGGGCAAGCTGGGTCCGCTGCTTAATGGCTCTGTCTTGCAGACGGCGGCTCTCAGAGCAGCTAGCGCATACCCCCACATCCTTCAAGAGGGACCCTGAGGACCCGTCTGCTGTTGCCCTGAAGGAGCCTTGGCAGGAGAAAGTCAGGTACAGTTGGAAGGGGTGTGTGAACACTGGGTTGGTCTCAATGCTATGAGGACTTTGCACGCCCTGGAAATCCCAGGAATGGGCCTCTGAGATTTGCTCAGTAAATAAACATGGCCTTGACTTTTGGCCCTGATCATCCCCAAGGGAGGGAATATTGACCTAGGACATAATGAATGGGGAAGCAGAGTGAAGCAGGCAGGCAGGTGAGAAAATCCACGTCTAGACTTGCTGGGTATTTACAGCCTTGTTTCATGTCAGAACAATTTGGCCTGTCCTAAGGTAAACTCATTCATGTTCCTGGCCGGTTGTATGTCCAGCTCCCAAATTTCTCCTTGAGCAAGAGGGAGAGCACCCTGGGCTTTTCCGGGCTCTGTAAGTTTGGGATTTGTCTTGTCTGGGTTAGTCTCATGGAGAGCCTGGGGATTCAAGGAGAGAACGGGATTAATTTCCTTCTCCTCTTCTGAGATGTCTTGTGGCTTAGGTGAGCTCTGATCCATAGTTTGATCAGGGACTCAGTGTGTAGTTGTTGCAGTCCTGGGCTTTCTTAGCCCTCAGATTCCTGACCGGAAACCTCCTGGCTGACTTGCTGCCACTGTCCCTTGTGCTCTCAATCTTACCCATTCCCTGCAGGAGGATCAGAGAAGGGTCACCCTATGGCCACCTGCCCTCCTGGCGTCTCCTCTCCGTCATTGTGAAGTGTGGGGACGACCTCCGGCAGGAGTTGCTGGCCTTCCAGGTCCTCAAGCAGCTGCAGGTGAGGCGAGGCGAGGTGCTGGCCATGGTGGCTCTGGCCCCGGAGAGCCTCCGTCGTGCCCCAGGCCCTGAGGGATTCTCTCGCTCTCTCCCGCAGTCCATCTGGGAGCAGGAGCGGGTGCCCCTGTGGATCAAGCCATACAAAATCCTCGTCATCTCTGCTGACAGCGGCATGATTGAGCCAGTCGTGAATGCTGTGTCCATCCACCAAGTCAAGAAGCAATCCCTGCTTTCGCTGCTGGATTATTTCCTGCAGGAACATGGCAATTACACTACCGAAGCCTTCCTGACAGCACAGAGGAACTTTGTGCAGAGCTGTGCCGGCTACTGCCTGGTATGCTACCTACTGCAGGTCAAGGACAGGTGAGTCCCTGTGCGCCTACATGGGAGCACTTGGCAGTATTGCTAGCGCTGTCTGCCCACTACCAGGATGCTTCATTTTGTCTCCTCTGGGATCCTGTGTGGGGCAAGGAAATCCTGGGAGCAGGTAGATGCTGGCTCAGCGCTTCCTGCTTCAGCTCCCAGGGTCAGGCGGGCATTTGCAAAGCTTAACAGAGGGTTTCTGCGTGTCTCGCTCAGGCACAACGGCAACATCTTGCTGGATGCAGATGGACACATCATCCACATTGATTTTGGGTTCATCCTCTCCAGTTCCCCAAGGAACCTGGGCTTTGAGACATCTGCCTTCAAACTCACCACTGAATTTGTGGATGTAAGTGAGCCAGGGATATAAGAGTGAGGGGCCGGGATGGGGGGAGTGTCATCATACAGTTTCGGCTGGCACACTTGGACTTTGGCAGCAGCGATGGAAAGGCTGGGGTAACACCAGTGAGGGTTCTTGGTCAGCTCTACATCTTCAGCCCTCCCTGCCCCCCCAGTTGAGCCATTCTTGGGATCCAGCTAATGAGATTAAAGCTGTAGAGGCTCTGTTTGCTGTTTAGATGCACTCAGAGAAGTGAAATTCCCTAAATAATCCCCTCGTGACCCTCAGGGTGATGAGCCTTCTGCTCGAGGCAGGCTGTTGTCCTGGCATTTCTGTCTGCTGTCCTCCACTCACGTCGCCTCTCCTTTGCCTTGCAGGTGATGGGAGGGCTGGACGGGGACATGTTCAACTACTACAAGATGCTGATGCTGCAGGGGCTCATCGCTGCCCGGAAGCACATGGATAAAGTCGTGCAGATTGTGGAGATAATGCAGCAAGGTAAGGGGAGCCTGTGGGCCCAGGGCTTGACTTTTTCCTGGGCATGTGCTCCCAGCGATGCTGCGTGCGAGTTGCATCGCTCTGGGTTTGGGCAGGGCTCGGATGTTCTCTGCAGAAAGCATCACCTAAAAGCAGCTCTGTGACACTTCAGGTCATTAAGGAAACCTCTGTTGACCTTGATGCCCTTTCAGCCTTGCGCAGAGAGGTCAGGAGCTGGTGAGCAACTGCATGCAGGTCAGTCTGTCCTCCAGGTTGGCAGAGATGAGGTGAAGGAGGTCAGCAGAGGTGGCCCCATAGGGTAGCACAGGTCAGCTGCTTCAGCACGCGGACTAGAGAGCGTGCAGACAAGTCTCAGATCACAAGAGACGCCGGGCAGCCTGTGTTAGGGTCTAGGAGCCACATGGGGAGCTCCTGGATGGGGACCTGCCATCGGGTCCCATGAGACAAAAGGGGAGTCAGGGTCCTGCCTGGCTGCATCAGCTTGTCCTTGGCTCAGTGCTTGGTTCAGATCCCAGAGGGTTTGACTCTGCTGAGATGGGAGCATGGCAAGCATCACAGCAGCAAGGAAAGCCAGTCTGTGTGCACGCCACCTTAAGCCAGGAGCCATCCAGAGCAGAGGGATGTGATGGTCTGGCATGTAGGTGCTGAGAGTGGAGGCCACTCTGTTCCTCCTCCTTCCTGCTCTGCTTTCCTGCCCTCAAAAGAGACCAGTTTGCTGCTTTTCCAGGAAGCAGAGTCATAGAGTCCTTTGCCAGGTCTGGCTGGGGCCGAGGGGCATGGAGAATGTGCAGACATGTCTCTGGTCGGAACCACATCCTTTTCTGGCATGAGGGAGTGCTGGATACCAGGAAGCCATTGCTGCAGAAGGGTGAGGGATCAGGGCACTGCAAACCTTTGCCGTACTCCCATGCCAGGGGATACCTTTTGGCCACCATGGTCCTGGCAGCCAAGGGGATACTAGTGATGAGCCTGGATCTGCCCAAGCTGGCTCATGCAAGTCAAGGCCACGGCTGCAACTGAAACACAAAATGCAGCTAACCCCAGCTGGGGAAGCCCTGTGCCACAAACCAGAGTTGGAGCCGGCAACAATGGAAACAGGCCCACTCGAGGCCACAGAGCCCTTTGCACTGCATTGCTGCCAGCAGGGAGCCATGAGTAGCCCTGCCACTTTTTCCCTTCTTCCCCGGCAGGTTCGCAGCTGCCATGTTTCCATGGCTCCAGCACCATCCGCAACCTGAAGGAGCGTTTCCACATGAACATGACAGAAGAGCAGCTGCAGCTGCTCATTGAACAGATGGTGGACGGCAGCATGCGCTCCATCACCACCAAGCTCTATGACGGCTTCCAGTACCTCACCAATGGCATCATGTGATGGCCCTGGCCCTCCTGCTCTGAGAGCCGCTCTATGCCTGCCGTAGCGCCCCAGGCCTGAGCCTTGCCCCCAGGGACCAGCTCTGGCTCAACGGTTCAAGGACACTGAGTCTCAGCATCTCCCAGGGCTGCTTTCGCTGACATGGATGGACAGACGGACACGCACACCAAAAACAACAACAAAAAGGAAAAAAAAATGAAAAAAAATGTAAGCAAAAAAAAAAAAAAGTAAGAAAAAAAAAAAAAAAGTAAGAAAAAAAAAAAAAAAGTAAGAAAAAAAAAAAAAAAGTAAGAAAAAAAAAAAAAAAGTAAGAAAAAAAAAAAAAAAGTAAGAAAAAAAAAAAAAAAGTAAGAAAAAAAAAAAAAAAGTAAGAAAAAAAAAAAAAAAGTAAGAAAAAAAAAAAAAAAGTAAGAAAAAAAAAAAAAAAGTAAGAAAAAAAAAAAAAAAGTAAGAAAAAAAAAAAAAAAGTAAGAAAAAAAAAAAAAAAGTAAGAAAAAAAAAAAAAAAGTAAGAAAAAAAAAAAAAAAGTAAGAAAAAAAAAAAAAAAGTAAGAAAAAAAAAAAAAAAGTAAGAAAAAAAAAAAAAAAGTAAGAAAAAAAAAAAAAAAGTAAGAAAAAAAAAAAAAAAGTAAGAAAAAAAAAAAAAAAGTAAGAAAAAAAAAAAAAAAGTAAGAAAAAAAAAAAAAAAGTAAGAAAAAAAAAAAAAAAGTAAGAAAAAAAAAAAAAAAGTAAGAAAAAAAAAAAAAAAGTAAGAAAAAAAAAAAAAAAGTAAGAAAAAAAAAAAAAAAGTAAGAAAAAAAAAAAAAAAGTAAGAAAAAAAAAAAAAAAGTAAGAAAAAAAAAAAAAAATTGCCCAGTGCAAGGGGCACATGGCCACGTGCTGGGCTAGCAGAGGTGGTTGCCCCTTACATCAAGGGAGCCCCAGGGCTGCTTTGATGGCCAAAGTGCCAGGGCTGGGGCTGTGCCAGCCACAAGTAGCCCCAGGGAGCAAGGAAAAGGAGCAGGGCAGTGCGTAGTGCCTTCAGCTTCCCGGCTCCCCTCCTGGGACGGAGCTCCTTGCAGCAGCCTCCTGGCATACAGCAAAGAGCAAGTTATTGCCCTGCTGGGGCCATGCAATTGCAGGAGCAATTCCAGTGCTGAACTGGGGCAATCCCCCCAAGGGTTCCTCTGCCTCTTCCCCTCCCCCCAAAAAAAGTTATCCTGTCCAGCCTCGGGGCTCAAGCAAGGGCTCTTGGGCTTTGATTTAAGTGCATCACCATTCTCCTCCCCAGCCAAAAATCTCAAGCCTGTCCTGCTGGTCAGATAGTGCTACCCCATAAGCAAGAGCAAGTGGATCCCACCGTGTCTGTAGCTCTCTCTCAATGTCCTCAGTCTGTTTGTTTAGCATTAATTATTTGTCCTGTTGATTATTTAGCATTAAAAACCAAACAAACAAACAAATCTCTTTTAAACCATTGGTATCCTGCACTTCGGAGGCAGGCTAGTGTTTACTGACCTCCCCCCCAACCAACTCCAAGGCTTGGGGGGGGGAGGGGCACCAGCACCCAAAACCCATGCACTGGTAGTCACAAGGAATTAAGGGGGTGGTGCTGAGGCTAAAGCCTGCTCAGAGCACTCCCCCCCCCATGCTGCCCCACAGGTGGGTGCAGCTGTAGTTGGGGGGACAGGGACCTGGTCTCAGCCCCTCCAGGGAGGGCCAACCACCGGGGCAGACGCAGAGCTGGGCAAGTAACACAGGGCACAGCAGGGGTTAAACCACTACAAGTTTAATTGCATTATTACTACAAGAATAAAGGATACCTGAGAGCCTCTTGCAGTGCCCATATTTGTAACGTAGCATAATCAGTTCACAACAGCCCCCCAACAAGTGTACAGACCCCCCCTCCACCCCCCCCAACAGAAGTCAATCTAAAGGCACTGAAGTGCTTGAAAAACCAGGAGATTACAAAGCAATTTGTTTTGTTTCCTTCCTCTAAAACCTCATAGAAACTTTAGGTGCTTCTCTGGTATGAAACATCATTTACATGTTCCCACCCCCCCCACGTGCGCACAGCTCCGCCAAGGGGGTTGGAGCGCCATCGTCAACGCAGCCCCACAGAGGGCAAAGGGGATGGGAGGACAGGGGCCCATGAGCCCCCTGCCCCCAGCAGGGCTGAAGCCAGCTGAGGTGCTGGGGGAACTCCTATTTCTTTTTTTTTTTTTTTGTCCTCCTTTTATTTTAAAATATAGCCCCCTCTGCCCCCATTTGTGCCTTGCAGCTGAACCCACCTGTGACAGGAGAGGATTAGCCCCCTCCCCCCACACTTAAAAAACAAGACCCAGCAAACCATCTCCCCCACATAAGAAAAAAAAAGAACAAAACCCAAATCACAACAGTAGTTGTTTTTTTTTTTTGTCACTTTTAGTGTATGTTACAACTTTACACAGCGTGTTAGAGGTTATTCACAAGGAAATAAGGAGGAGCCCGAAGTTAAGTTACTGAAATAGTTACTCACACAAATACCCTACCCCAAGCACAGGCGCTAAACAAACAAAACAAGTAGAAAGTTTCTTTTCTGGCTGTTTGTTCTCCTTCCCCAACCGCAATTGGGGGGGGGGGGGGGGGGGA